TATGATCTCTAGTTACTGCATTGGATTGACCATTACCACAGTCTGGGCCTGGGTTGGCCTACCAGCACGAAGGACTCTAAGTGTTAAAAGTGGAAAACTCCCAAGCAAACCCAGAAAAGTCGGTCATCGTAGTCACAGTGGTGAGAGCACAGAGAAACCAGGCTTTGCACATCCTCATTCTGTGTCATCTTCTCTGGGAGCGCATGGAATGCGTCTGGGAGCCTCTTAGAGGTGGCTTGGTGGCTATATTTAGGACAAGAAGGGCTGAACCACATGACTACACCTATAAGATCTTCATGGATTAATGTATGGGGTAATGAGCCATACCCAAGCAAACATGGAACAAAAATCCAAGACTCAAGCTTGTGATGTGGCCACAGAGACAAGTTTGGAGAATAGGGTTTAAATCCTGCTCCAGAACTGTATCACTATGTGGCCTGGGGCAACTTATTTGGCCCTGTCTGACCTCAATTTGTTCAGCGGAAAGATGAGAAATAAAAGGAAAGTTGTGGAAGGGTCTTTCTTTCCCCACTCCCCCATCCACATGCACATGGTTAATGCACAGGGCTGAGACCACATCTGGACAGCTCAAGTAGTAAACTCACCTTGGATAGCCACTCTGGGGTAGCCAAGGACCTTAAAACAGGATCCGCATTCCACTTGGTAATACTTTTTTTTTTTTCTTTTTCAGATTGCAACATGTTTACAAGTCTAAATCTCTATTTCCCAATTCAGTCCTGTAGTTTCAAGTGGCTCCCTCCTTTTGCTCTTTCCTTCAAGCAGGGAGTCCGCTTCTCAACTTTCGGTTTTCTTTGGAAACAAAGGGTCTCCCCAGCAGCCTTTGGTGGCTTCCTCTTAACCTTTCATTAAAGCCTGCTGACAGCTGGCTTTAGCTCTTTTTGAGTTAGTTCAAAAGATTCCCCCGATGAAATGGGTCCCACCTGGCTTCACTAAAGCTCCTGCCAGATTCTCTACTTGCCACCCCCTCTGCAAATGCACATCATGTTCTGAGCCAGTAATATGGGATGGAACTGGGAAGATTGAGGTAGAGGGACTGGAATTGGAGAACCAGCAATAATCTCAGGTTGCTGTGATTTGAGCAAAAGAAAGTTGCCTGGGGTCCAAGGCAGGTCAGTGCCCCGGTGGCATAGGCTAAGATCATAAATCAGATCCCTCATATGTGAAGTTCAGGGCTATGCGGAGAATGTAAGGTCCTTCAGGCCTGACTCTGCTAGGAGGTTGGACTCCGTGACCTTGGACATGTCCTTTCAATGACAGGAATGGAATAACTGTTACTGAGCTGCTTCTGGAATGCCAGGCGACAACTGCTTCCAAATATTTATCACCATACGAAGAACATAAAATGTTCATTAAAGATTATGTTACTTATCCTAGAAAGGCCGAGGTCAAGGTTGAAGTTGTTTTTAAATTCTCAAGCTTTGATTGGGGATTTACATTGCAAATATCAGCTGTAAGAGCCCAACCCTGCATCAAAGTCCTTTCTTGCAGAAATGTAAGAACAACCTAATTCCATATGATTGCATTTCCCCAGTGTGTCCCTCTCAGACTTTAACCTCCTGAAAGAGAAACATTTCTCTCTCCTGGGCTCCCCCTCCCCAGTACAAAATAGATACTAAAAAAGCTGTTCATAGAGGCTACTAATTCATCCTGTTACACAAAGAGAACGCAAGGATGCAAGGAATAACCACACCAACAACCTCCTCTGATCAAGGAGTCTTAGGATAAGCCATGTGTGTGTGTGTGTGTGTATCTATCTATCTATCCATATGTGTGTATGTGTTCACACACACACACACACACACACACACACACACACACATATATATATACTTAAAGTTAATTTATCACCTTATAAAACCCACCCTTTCCCCCAAGTTTCAAAGTGGTTGTCTTGTTCCAGCCCACAGCCGTATTTTGCTTGCCCGGGACACTGTATTTCCCTGCCTTTAACTGGACACACACACACACACACACACACTCCTTTTGTCAGGGGTTGCATCTCCCTTTCAACTGCCTGGCTCTGAGGTAACCAGTATTCATTCTAGATGTGCTCACTCTGTGGATGTCTAAGAGCTGAAAACAGAAAGGGTAGAAGTCAGGAGAAAGGAATCTCAGATTTTCAGTGAGGAAACAGATCTCTGTCGCTGCATGGAGAAATAATTAGACAAGGGAAGGAATAAAATTGCTTGCTACAGTTAGGAAGCTATTGAAAGGGTCCAGACGTAAAATGATGCCAAATTGAGGCCTCCTTGTTACAGCAAAGTGCAACAGCTCTGTGTTACACCCAAGTGTTACAATATCCAAAGGTCTCTGGAGGTGAAGAAGTTGAACCGCACTGGGAGACATGCAGGAAAAACTCATTATGCTGGCGAATTGAAAGGAGTTCATACTCCAGAGTATGAGCCCCAAAGAGCAATGGGAGCAGCCTTATACGGAGCTCTGTGGTGCAAGGAGATTGGCCTCACATGTCAGGGAAGCACCTTCACAGGAGCAGAAGGGCAGAGTTAACAGAACAGCTTGAAATGGGTAGGAACATCTTGCAGCTCAAACACTTCCATTTGCAACTAGGACGCTTAAACAGTTGCATTGCTTGAGTGGTTACTTTTGCAGTACAGGTGGCTTCAGCAATATATCTTATGATTCCTGGCAAAAACACTGCGGGGGCAGCGCTTGAGAACAAAGGCCTGCCATGCTGTGCATTATTTCCTTATCACCCTCTGTCCACCCAGGCTCATGACCATATACATCCCTGGCACAGGGAGAATCTTTCCTTGTAATCTCAATCCATTTGTTAGGAATAACTATGATATACTGTAACCATTCTCAAACTAACACAAATCACAATCACCCAGAGAACTCGATAGGCCGCAGATCTCTGGCTCCACCCCCAGAATTTCTGATTCAGAAGGCAAAGAAAAGGGCCATAATTTGCATACTGAACAACCTCAGATTAGTCTGAGGTTGCTGGCCTGTGCCTGTAATCCTAGTACTCTGGGAGGCTGAAGTCGGAGATCTCAAGTTTGAGTTCAGACTGGGGAACTCAGTGAGACCCTGTCTCAAAAAGCGGGTTGAAGAAAAATGCAGCTCAGTGTGAAGTCTCTGAGTTCAATCTTAGTATTCAAAAAAAAAAGTGCAAAGTTAGAGAACTACCAGGTTAGAACAGTACTTCAAATGGTTTAGAAGCCCTGGCTTCACGTTAGAATTATTTTGAAACGTTTAAAAATTAAAAATCTGAAACCCAAGTCATACCACAGAATACTTACAAAAGAATCTCTACAGGTAAGACTTGAGAATCGCATTTCTATAAACTCCCGAGTTGGCTGCAATGTTCCATTACCCTGAGAACTACTCAGCCACCGGCTGCTGAAGGCCACTAAGCACTCCTAAAATACCATGGTTGTGTTTGTGAATGTTTTTAGTCTGACTCGGAGTGTCAGAGAGGACTTGAGAGGGTCCCTTGCAAAGCGGAAATATACACTCTGGGCTTCAATGTTCTGCTTAGGAGATGTTTGATGTATTCTTTTTCAATTTAGACTCCAACAGGTAGTGATGGTTACGGTTATTTTGCAAGATGGGCAGGGAGCCTGAGCTAAGTTAGGGTGGGGTGTATACTGACTTGCAAAATATTACAGCCTGCCTACCTAGATCAAGGCATCTAGCCCCACTCCATTTTCCACATGGGGAAACTGAGGCCCTGGACCTGAACTTAGACTCATTTCTCCTTCAGTTTCTAAATAAATGTTTGATTTTAGCATGCTAGTCAAGGTATGATTAGAATCTTAAGCTAATGGCTCAAATGAAAATAAAAAAGGAGCCACCAAATCATGGTTAGCTGTTTCTGTTGCTTGGACTAAAATTGTTATTTTACACAAAACCTAAAAAAAAATGAACCAGGCTGCTCTGGACCTGGCGGTTTTCAGATACCCAGGTGATGGTGATTTTTATTAGCTGCTGGAGTGTATTGTGTGAATTAAAAGTGAAGAATTTGCAGGCTGTACCTCTCAAAAAAAGAGACTGGTTTTTGCTTTTCCATAAAGGTGGTATTATGGGAACAGAAATCTTTTGGCTCAGAGAACTGCATGCTGTTTCCATTAATGCTGTTATTGCCCTGAACATGCTGGCAGTACCTCCTGAGAAATCCCTTTCAGATCTGCTTTGTTTTGCCCAGTAGCCAGCCAGCCAGAAGCGTCTGCACCTTGGGCACACTTTTTACATTCTTTCCTTCAACAACTGTTTGCTTTAATCTCTCTCCCAGGGTTCCTCATGCTAGTAGTGATTAAAGATTTAAAATAAGCCTGTACTTATTACGGAGCACACGGCCATGAATTACACTTAGAGGAATTTATTTGGATCGCTGTCGTATCCACACACCTCCCTGTCATCACCACCTTGTGTTCTGATGGACCCTAGGCTGTTTCCAAAATTACATTTCCCAAGTAAGACTTCAGGTGTGACACCAATGGTCACCTTTAAAGACACTTAAATGTGATAGGGAAATAATATAAAACTGGGGAGCTTTTAGAAGTGAGTCAAAGCTCTGGAATGATTCCCATCATTTCCCACATTACTAATGAAACAGACCCAGGGCAGCTCCTACTGAACTTAGAGTGGGGTGCAGAACTCAGAAAGCTGGGCAGAAAAGGAGTGGTACATACTGTGTCCCAGAAGCAAGGCAATTTAGAGGCACGTGAGGTTTTCCTTCCCTGTCAGAACTACCAGGTAGACATGAGATTAGTCATTTTCTTAGTTACTTTTTCTCATTGCTGAGACAAAATACCCAACAGCCAAAGCTAAAGGGGGAAAGGTTTATTTAGCTTACAATTTGCAGTGGTCCATAGGGGCTGGCTCCAAGGCAGAGAGGCAGGGCAGGCAGGCCTTCTAGAGGAGAAACAGTTCACGGCGGCCAAAAGGTAAGAAAGCAACAAGAGACCTTAGCAGCTTCTTTCTTTCTACCCCTTTTATACTCCATCTAGGATTAGGGCGGTGCCAAAGCAATCAGTGGACGGATTTAGCAGTCACACGCCCTTAATCCCAGCATCACACACTCAGTTTTGGCCACCCCTGAAAGAAAAGCCCCACCTCATTTGCGTGAGGCTTTGAGGGGACATCTAGGCACATACAGCAGTAATGCTCTGAGTAAGCACAGTGTGTGAGGCTAAGACCAGCACAGTAATGCTATCTGGAGACAGATTTTGTTTTAAATATTTCTTACTCTTAGAACTGCCCTGAGATCGAATGGACTCCCATGGCTGTGTAGGGAAGGGCAAACGCCAAGATGGCGGTGCTCTGGTTTGGGCTGTGGAGGGAAGGAGATGGGGAGGCAGTGGGGTCTTTGTCAGCAGGACCCCGAGCAGGTGCTTCTCCCAACACTGCAATATGAATAAGTTCCACAACCAAGGTCAGCGCTGGCCGACGTAAGTAACTATCCAAGGTTGTTACTGGTGCATAGCCACCTTTGTGTGCTTTGGTATAAATGTAGACTAAGCAGCAGAGGCCTGCTGCGAGCATGAGTGGGCCAGGGGCATGAGACCTGCCACGAGTACCCAGGGGCTGGGGGCAGCTGAACAAAAGATGTTTAACCCAGTGCACAGTTCTGTGTCTTTTCTTTTGGGTGCCTGAATCTCGAGTGAAACTCTCTAGTCTGAACTGGTGACGAGACGGTGTGGTAATGAGTTCACCATCTCTGAGAATATTCGAGCACAATGTAAAAAGTTCACTTAGCAGGGATATGGAGGAGCTGACTAAGCATAGTGCAAAGAAGATGTGTTCTCCAAAGTACTTTCTAGGGCTGGGGATTTAGCTCAGTTCCACTGCACCTGCTTGGCAAGTGAAAGGTCCTGAGTTTGATTTCCGATCCTGGAAAAAAAAAATACCTTTCAACTGAGAGATGAAAACAAGACTGGGGCTATGACATCAGTGGAAAAGGTGAGAGTTTTTTTTTAAACGAAAACATCCCAAAACTTGTTTGGACCCTTCAAACGCCAGGCCCCACCCCACAGCGCTGAGCGGAGTGAGTCAGAGTGTGAAGAGGCCATCTTCATCCTCCTTTCCATGCTGCATGTCACTGAGGACATTTTGGCTTTCTCCCGGGTCATGTGGGCTGTAAAGAGACGAGGCAGGCTGAGAAAGAGGAACGGCAAGACTGGGGGGAAAAGAAAACACAGATGCTACTGATTTACAATGCAACTGACCAAAGACAGAGTAAGAATTTCAGAGTCCATCCAGCCTCAGCCTTTGTACAAATGGAAACTGAGGCCACAGGCCACGACGGTATTTGCCAACTCACAGTATTATCAGAAGAGAAGACAATGTCCTTTGCAAAATACAAAATCATAATCTGAATGCATTCATTTATCAAAACTACCTCCACGGATGGCATTGGACGGTGACCTGGCTGGGCCTCAGTTTCCCTGTTTGTTAGTGCTGTTTGATAACAAATGTTATGGTGCCGATACATTTGAATAATGAAAATAAGGCCTTCATCAACAACCTACCCCAAATTTTTGTATTTCTTTCCCAAAAAGCTATAGAACAGGACAGATATCCAAGGTCCATTTCCAGGGACTCTTTAAGGACTACTTTTTTTTTTTTAACTAAATAGCAAAATCAAAATAACTGCTCTATGGTCTAATTGGGCAGAAGAACCAAATCCCAGGAATAACAGTCTAATTTTTTCATCTTCCACACTTCCAATGCTCCTCCAAGGGAACTCCAGTTCAACAATGTGCTTTTGAAAGTGAGTTGTCCAGGGTGGAATAAATCTAGAGCAGAGTAGTAGCACGTCACTTTCTTATTTTCCTGTTCTTTTTCTTTTATTGTTTGCATGCAATACTTCTAATTTTTTTAACTTTATTGTTACAATTAAGATATACATAATGATCACATTCATCATAGGGGATCTGTACCTGTATATACTATATCTTGAGTCCTCTTTTTTTTTTCCCCAATGCCCTCCTCTTTCTTCAACCCCCTTTCCTCCTTATTTACAAAAATTTTGTTTCCATTTTTTCTTCTTTTCTCATGCCCCATCACCAAGTTCCTCTTTCCCTTTGAACAGTTTTTTTTTTTCCTGTTTCACATTATCTGTGCCACCTGCCTTTATATTTTCACTTTGGACAGACAGTGTTAACCGAGACAGATGTTAATTTGAGGTAAGTCCACATGTCTTTTTCCCCCTCTAAGACCATGTCTCCCCATTTCTGAGTTCAATCAGAATGCAAGCAGGAATAGTAAACCACCGAGCAGCATGTGATCATTTGTGACAGCTTGTACAACTATTACAACAGTCAGTCGTGCCGAACGAGTTACCTTTTGTGTTTCTGCAAACAACTGGCTTTCATGACTTTTCCTGAAAAGATAAGGCCACACAGTGAGTACAGAGGCTGCTGCTGGAAGGTGAGGGGCACTTGGTCTCATTTGGGCTGAAGGCGAGTTAGGGACAGAGGGCAAGGGAAGTTATCCCTTCCCTGGTCCAGTGCTTACTGTTTTCAGGCCCTACTCAGAGCTTATTTATTACAAAGCCATTCCAATTTTGTGGACCACAGTGTCAGCCTGTTTCGTGTAGGACTCGTTCACTTACTCAGAATTCAAGTAATGACATGGATTTTCAAACTCTTCATGAAATATACCCAAAAGTTTCCAAAACTGTAACCATGACTCTGTATGAGAGCTAGTAGCAGGCTTTTGGTGAGTTCTAAATTTCCTTTTGCAGTATTCATCTGGGACAGATTGGAGACTGTACAAATTTCCCTCCTGTTCAGAATAGCTGAGACAATTACAGTCACATCTCATGCCCAACTTCCCAGAAACAACAATTCCTCTTCGCTTTAGAATGGCACCAGGTGCCATGAGACTATTTCTGCATGAAAACTGCCAACTCTGTTTCATGGCTCCTTTTTGCAGTGTTTTGAAACTTTATTTGTGAGAAGAGGAGTGCAAGGCCATGGGCCAGCTTGAGAATTTAATGAAAACTACAGACCCCATGCACTGGAAAATGTAAATACAGACAAATGAGCACATTTGCAAACTATTTCCAGGGTTTCGCATCTCCCCTGAAAGCCATCTGTGGCACCTCACTTAAGAAAGTCTGCTTTTAGGTAACGAAGAAGACCAAGATCATTCATGGCACAGCCCTAGCAAAAGGAAGAGGGGACACCAGGGGTTTTTAGTCAAAAACAAAACAAACAAACAAACAAAAAAAAAAACAGTAGAACTGTTAGTAAGGCAGAAATGAAGGCAGGACAAATCAAGGTAGTCAGTGAACCTTGGACAAAGTGTCCCATCTAGGAAGGTGCCCTGATTCTTGCTTTTACTTTTCCAAAATGTGGTCTGTCTGGGATGAGACAAAAAGCCACTATTAACGTATGGCTATGTCCCTGGTTGAGATGGGGCTGTGAGAGGACCAAGCGTCTTTGGGGTTTGAAGAAAGGGACAGGAAGCAGAAGAGCCCGATGAGATCTTGCTGGAGTCTCACCCAGCCCGGACATCTTACCTCGCAGGAGAAACACCCCAAGCAGTGTCAGGAGTGCAAGTCCCAAACCAGAAGCAATGATTATCATCAGCAGGTAGGTGTCCATCTGCGTGCGGAGCTGAGACACAGGAAAGGTGACTGGCCCACTTGTTGCTCAATGCAACTGTCCCAGGGACACCGCCATCCCAACATTGCCTTCCCATCACCAACGCAATCCACCACATTTCCTCCTGTTTCTCTCGAATCAAACTAATGCCAGCTTTATAAATCATATTCTAAAAATGTGTTCCTCAGAGCCCAAAATATTTTACTCATATCTCCAAAAGTTCCTAAGTTTTGGGCATCAGGCATGCGGAGCTTGTGAGGCTCCAGAGTCTGGGGATAAAAAGTCACTGTGCTGTGAGCTGTGTTTTCCACTATCAAGTGTCTTTCCTGCTCACTGCCTGAATCCTTGGGACTCTCCCCATCTCGGTGCAGCAATTGTCACAGTAGACTTAGGCATCTAACACACAAAAAAAAGCTGGATTAAAGAGAAAATGGAGCTCTGTTTCAAATCTTCTGCTGCACTGGCTATCACAGTAGGGAACCCATGGGATTGAAATGGTTTTTCAGGAGGCAGCATTTGTCATTTTCCTGAACTTCTCCCATCAGACATTAAGACTCCCTCCATATCCTCTTAGGCCGGGCATCAGGGAGACTTGCAAAAATGTAAAACAATGCCATTTTCCCACTATTTTTTCCCCTTTGGAAAAATATAGTTAGTGGTCATGTTATTTATGTTACTATGTTGCAGGTTTGTTCATCTTGGCTTTAAATTAACTAAAAAATATTTTTTCAGTTTTAATACAAATTTCTCAGCCTTAACTTTTAGGAGTACAAAAGGACCCTGATATCAAAAGGTGTGAAAAGTGCGGCCCCTGCATCAGGGCCCTGCCATCTTACACAGGGGGCTCCCCCCTGGCCCATTCATGCAGAAGTAGGCAGTGGGGACAGCAGCAAGGACAGGACCACAGGTCATCTCTGAAGAGAGACACTTTTCCTTCACAGACACCTGTGCTGCCTGGAAGTGACTTTTGTTATTTTTGTAATGAGAAAAATAAATGAAAGGACTCTCAGAAAATACGAGCAACTGGTGGTAGGTGTAGGTAGTGCAGTGTTGCTAATCCTGAGCTGCACAGACAGAACACGTGATGCTTTGCTATGTCTTTATATTTTTCCTTTTCAAAGCATCTGCACATATAGAAATCATTGATATTATTTCTGCTAAAAGTATAAAGTCTACAAATTCTTTGTCTATTTTGTAAGAGTTATGATGCATTTTGCTATTTAGTGATATTCTGTTCTCCCTGCCCCACCTATGCAAACCTTTGCTGTGGATTTTTTAAAATCTAAGTCATATACTTTAAATATTTTACAGTTGTTTTACCTTTGGCTCTGGAGCTTTCTTCACAGATTCTGGGAAGGCAAAGAGAAGAAAATGGTTATACCTCTTGAGGGAAAACAAAAAATCACTTCCTAAAATAGGTATTTCAAGGCCATCTAGAATTTCAGCTGAAGTGTTTAATATCACCTTTTCTTATTTGTATAGTTTATTTGTGCTTATTAGCTTTGATAAAGTTCTAAAGAGAGTTTCGTGTGCTGTCCAACATTATCCCACAGGAACATTTCCATTCATTTTCATCCAGCAAGAAAATGTGTTAGTCTTTCAGTTAACAGATACCTAGGGCCAGCCAGGATTTAGCTCAGTGGCACCACACCTGCCTCGCAAGTACAAGGTCCTGAGTTTGATCCCCAGCACCAGAAAAAAAAGATACTTATTAAACACTTATAGACAAGAGATAGTATAAGTGTCATCGAGCACACTGTGCTACGTATACCTTGGACCTCAGAATTTACAACGTAATACAGAAAATAAAATTTCAACAAATACAGCCATATATCAGGCAGCAATATTTTGGTCATCGATGAGCTACATGTACAAAATGGTCCCATAAGATCATCACAGAACCAGAATATTTGCATCCGTCACTGAAGTCCTAAGCGTCATAACGGCATGGCCTGCGGTTGTGGTGACGCTCGTGTAAAGGATCCTGTTGCATCACCGGTATAGTCATGTGCAGTACAACACTTGATGATGAGTGACTGACATTGGCTCACATATTTGCTCTGTTACAGAAGGAACTGGAAAGTGGAACACAGGGAGGCAGTAGAAGGGAAATAAAATTAAAAAGTTCATTCCATCGATGGGGATCGACGACACCTAGCGGCGGTGCCGTGATCGACTCCCCCACTGGTTACAACTCCTTCTTTTCTAGGGTTTACAGCCTTGATCTCACTCAGTGGGTTCCCCTGCATTTCACAGCTCACATTGCTGATACACAAAACAAGGTGGTGAGGCAGCTGAATTCCAGGGCCATTCTTTGTTAGGGGAAGTTACCTTTAGGATTTATCTATTGTAGACAAGGGGAAGGGATGTGCTTGGTCAAAGCTAACAATGCTTCTTTTCATTTACAAAACTTTTAGAGACTAGATGCCTCCGGTGCCAGTTAATTCTGAACTAAACAGAGCAAAGGGCAAAGTTATCTTCCATTGTGACCTCTCCTAGGTTTTTGCCGTTAATGTTTTTCCCTATCAGCTCTACCACACTTTTATTGCTATTTTAGAGTGTAATCCTACTTTCAAAACAAAACTTTTTGTAAAGCAGCGTTCTCTGCCACTCTGGCAGCTGCCTCATCCGTCTCACAGCACCACCTCCCTCATCTGCGCTATGTTCTCTTGACTTGATCTTGTTTTATTCCTCATTGGCTAGGTCTGATGGGCTGCACTCTATAAATGCCTGCCATGTAGCCAAGGAATGTAGTACTTCACCATCGAAATCTGCCCAATACTCTCTCTGATATTCACGCAAAAACAAAATCAACTGACGATGCCTTCCTCAGAATGGATTGCCGTCATTAAGCGACACGTGAGCGAAATGCAAATAATAGAAATAATCAGTTACAGCTATTCAAAAGTCTATGAAGAGAGAGAATATGATCTCCTGCAGCCAAGTCATGAGCATGGCGGAGCTGAGCTGCAGGGTCAAAGCAAGCAGGCTTCTGGGAGAAGGTGAATTTAAACTGAGACAAGGAATCAATGGCTCCTGACTGCTACCTAGTTACAAGGGCAATTTCCTGGTGATTTAGCACATGCTGAGCACTGTTCTGGGCCCTGCTTAGTTCCTACTATCTACAAGAAAATTGACTGTGTGTGTGAGAGAGGGACGGGGGGTGGGCTGGGGAACTGAACCCAGGTCCCTCTCACTGAGCTACATCTCCCATCTTTTATCATCATCATCCTCACCATCATCATCATTCTGAAACAAGGTCTTCCTAAATTGCTAAGTTGCCCAGGCTAGGCTTCCACTGGTGATCTTCCCGCCTTAGCTTTTCCAAATACTAGCACTATAGGTGTATGTGCCACCATGTTCAGCACCCACAAGGAATTCACAGTGCAAAGGCAAGGCCAAAAGATCATTTGAGCCTACCAGGCCTAGGGTAGTGATAGGACCCCACATTGCCTGGTACATACGATATGCTCAGTACATGCCTGTTGAATGAATAACACCTATGCAGAGATAAGGTTGCATCATAATTAGCCAGGCAGGGAATGGTGAGCAGAGCATTTCAAGTAGATAAGGCAGCACAAGCCAAGCCAGAGAAGCATAAATCAGTGTGGCGACCATGTCCAGTGGTCGTACAGGTGTTATGAGAGGGGATGCCAGTGGTACGGGAGGGCAGGGCAAGGGTGGGCAGGAGCTGGTCAGGGAGGGCCTTTTGTTCCCGCTGGTAAGTTTCCGACTTAGGCAGCAAGGAAGCACAGAAGTGTTTCAGTATGAGAGGTCTGGGTAGGAGGACAGTGGGACAGCCGCAGGGAGAGTCAGCATGAACTCCAGGTCTGAAGCTCAGAGCTAGCAGAGACGCAGGGGGAGACTCGGATTCCAGAGTGATGGGGTGGACACAGATTCTATGAGCGAGGTCGGTAGGATATCGACATGGAGTTAAGGGTCTTACATCACTCACAAGGTCCCACTCTGTACAGCAGCAGCCCATGGCCCAGCTCTCTGGGGACTAAGATCAGGAGCGGGGCAAGGAGAGCAGCGGTGCAAACCTGCAGGAGAGGGCGATGAGCTTGCAGTCAGGAGCACTGAGCCAAGGTACTAACCCTTCCTGTGGGTCTAAAATTATTTCAAAATAAAAAAGGTCTTTAAAATGGGTTACGCTGGAACTGTTCCATATCATTTGGTCTAATGCATACATGCTGTATTGTAGCTTTGCAGTAAAGATTTGTAAAATAAATGTGTTGAATGAATTTTCAAGTGGGTTCAAAACATAGAAAAGAGCGGGACATCTGGCTTCTGAGCTGGCTCCCTCCTTGTGATAATGAGGAAAGACTGATTTAAAAATGAGTGGTACTGAGAAAGGCGAAAGGACTTTTGTACAGAAGTGTGTGCAGCGCCACACTGTGGAGAAAGGAGGCAAACACAAGACTGAGTCAAATCTCCAAGGTCTGTTTGGGTGGAAGACAGGTTAAGCTATTGGATTCTCTCACACAGATACCAGGAAGAACAAAGGCATCACCTGGGGAGAGAATACATTGAAAGAATACTTGGAGAATCCCAAGAAGTACATGCCTGGAATAAAAATGATCTTGGCTAGCTCTAGGAAAAGGGGGAAAGAACAGACTTAATAGCTTACCTCAAAAAACTACTAATGAGTAATAGTCACTGCCTTATTTACTATAGAACAGAAATGTCTTGTAACTTTTTTGCATGTACCATAATTTAATGGATCTCATACACCATACTTCAGATCCTGAGTGGCTCACAGGATATTTTTGTTGAACGCTCCTGATTTAAGCAAAATTGGCTTTTTCTCAAGTTTTCTTTTTCTCAAGTAATTCCAGTAAAGACAATCACAGTTTCCCCTTTCAAAAAATGATTGGACTTGATTAGTAATGTTGGACTTTTCCACAAGATGAAGAATGGAATCTGAAAAACCTGCTGAATTGGATTTGGGTTTAGATTGATGAAACTGTTTAAGTGAATGGGTTTAAATACCACAGAAATACTTTGTTGTCTCAGAACCAAATAAGACTCCCCTGCTTTGTGTTTATTAGCCTGTTACAGGTAGTGGATGAAGATAAGGATGCAACAACTGTATTTTTGGTCTAGATTATGGCAATTTAATTAGAATTCTTTTTTAATCAAAAAAGTGGTGCCTTTTACTCAAGGAAAAGCATTTTAGAGTGGTGTATGTATAATACCAAATAAAGAGTACTTAACACTTTTCACATTATATAGTGGATCTACAAGTTCAGATTCTTTTAAAACTCAGCATGATGCAATAGCAAGTTAGACTTTACATTTGAATCATTTAGATCTCACTGAGTTGTTATTCAGGATAGTATTTAAAGAGCTATTTAAAAACACAAGACTGAAACTACTGTTGCACATGTGATTGATAGTAGTACTTTCTCTCAGCTCATTAGAAGGATCAAAGTAGAGAAGTTAAAACATCAGCACAAATTTGTGTATGACCATAATAATTTTTAAACATCATATTGAAAAAATATAGACTAATTTTGTAAAAGAAAAAAGAATTTTTTGGTTAAAAAGAGGTAACATACATTACTCTGCTGTTGGGAAAAATGACCTGAAAGATGTAATGCAAAAACAATACAGCCATTATCTTTTGCTCATGGAGCGGTAAAGGGGAATGAACTCTCATTTTTCCATGTTTTAACTTAGTCTTTTACAAGAGCCTGTCTTTATCCTGTAACATGGATGAAATGAGAAAGTGACAGCATTAAAAACGCCACCGTCACTCTCCAGGGACTTGAAACCCGGCCGGGCAGCAGGCGATGCTCCGTGAACGTTCTGGAAGAGCCCTGCCCAAACAGCTTCATGTCTGCCCCTGCTAGGAGCTGCCGGTGCCTCTAGGGTATATATCACGGCTTGGCAAAGCACAGCCTGCAGGCCAAAAGCGCACCGCCTGGTTTTGTTCGGCCTATGAACTAAGAATAGTTTTACAGAGATGGAAAAATTTCAAAGAACTTTTACAACACATCACAGCTATTAAAAATTGAGATTTCTGGGTGGGCTAATAAAGTTTATTAAAGCACAGGGCCTCCTCTGTCCGGCTATGGGAGAGCACTTGCAACAGAGATTAGACTGTGGCCCCCAAGGCCTAAACTGTGTACTTTCTTGCCCCCACCCCTTTTCATCTTACTGAGATTACTGGTACATCTTAGGTAACAGCGCAGTTACAGTCATCACTGGGATCCTGTACCTCTACAAGACAGATCTGGGTGCTCATTTTTTCCCTATTCCCCTGCCCTCCCTTCACCCTCTCCATCCTCCCCTATTTACAAAGACTTTGTTTCCATTTTTTTCCTTTTCTCCTATTTTTTCTTGTCCCTTATTTCCTTTCCCCTACCCTTCCCACTTCCTCTATTTCTTGCCCTTTATAGAAAGCTTGTTGAGCCTTGGGATAATTAGTCTGTGGGTACATAAACAACTGTGGTGCACAAGATTAAATTTATTATATCTAAGGACTGCTATTAAGAGCCTTATGACCAGGGCCAGGGATTTAGTACAGAGGTTCCACCACCTGCCTTGCAAGCATAAGGACCTGAGTTTGATCCCTGGTACAAAAACAAAAAGATCCTTATGACGAGACCCCAGTGGGCAGACCCCAGTGAGATGAAACACTTCCCTCCCACATGATTATGTCTGGGGCAGTAGACTAGAACTTACTGTCTTGTGCAACTCAAAATACTACCTGCTATATATAATTCTGAAAAGCTATTGAAATCCTGCAGAAGAGATCTTTTCAAAATCCATTTTAAATATCATCCCTATTCCGACTCATTAGTAAAAATGTGCTTAAAAATAATAGAGACTCCCTCTCAGAATTACTTCATGGAGCCCTGTATGCCTGACCCAAAGTCAGGCTCTTCATATAAATTACCAGATTTAATGCTTACAAAATGTGTTTTATAGACTTGTGAACTGAGGCTCACACAGAGATTAAAACACTTGAGTGAGGTAACACAGACAGTGAAAGAACATTTGAACCTAATTGTGAATGGCTCAAAACAAAATTTAAATATAGCCAGGCACGGTGGGAGCCCTCGGGAGGCTGAGGCAGGAGGATCACTGTGACTTCGAGACCAGCCTGGGCTACATAGTGAGTTCCAGGTCAGTCTCAACTACGTAGTGAGACCCTGTCTCAAAAAACAAACAACAACAACAACAAAAAAAACTTAATTATAACCATTCTGAGAGAAACGCAAAAGAGCATATTAAAATCTTATTTGATTGCCTCACAAGCACAAGGTCCCAACTTTGATCCCCAGTACCAAAAAAAAAAAAAAACAAAAAAAAAAACTTCCTTGAAAACCAAACTGTCCAATGCGAGGACTTCTAGCCAGAAATCGAGGCAAAATAACAACACTCTGTCTTCCCAGTGGGTACATTGAAAACTCATCTACATGCGTCTATTCATCAGTGAATTCACAGACACCAAGACTCATGCGTCTCTACTTCCAAAACAGAATCAGTTCTGAAACGAGTCGATCCCACATACAATCCTTGGCCGGCCTAGAATTTTATAGCTGACATCTGCAAGCCTGCAGAAACAGGGCTTTACTTTCATGGGGCGCCTGTGGATTATGCTAGGCAAAGCAGCATGGCATAGTGTTGACAGCGATGTCAAACCTGACCCAGGGATGGTGGGACACACCTGAAATCCCAGCACTCAGCAGGCTGAGGCAGGAGACTCACCATGAGTTGGAGGCCAGCCGGGGCTACACAGTGAGTTCAAGGGCAATCTCAACTACGTGGCAAGACCCTTGTCACTACAACACAAAAGAGCTCAAAAGACATGGATTAAATCCACATTCAGCAAGAGCTCAACAAGTTATTCATCTTTAAATTCTAAAAGGTTATAACTATCACACAAGACTTTGTGAAAAATGCAGAGATAATCGAGACAAAAATGCATCTTGTTAAAGAAAGACCTTGGGTAATTTAGCATCACTAATCAACTCTGTGATCCCCCGCTTATCAGGGATCGAAGTCAGGCCCTTGCACTTGCAAGGCAGACTCCAACAACACTGAGCTAAGTCCCCAGCCCCGTGGTCCTCCATTTATCTACCTGTGAAGGGGAAACAATATATGCCCCTGTCTAGAAGGCCCCTAAGAGTGACGGATGGAAAGGGATGTCAGAACTCTTACGACAACACCGATACACAGTTGGGTCCTTGGGAGCGGGAACGGCACTGATTACTGAGAACGTTTCACTGCAGCAAAATGTGGGATGATAAATGAAAAAGAAACTTTTATTTCAGGAAGGCCAGGCAAAATAAAGTAATGTCTGAGAACATACAAGAGGTAGATTCTCACAAAATGAGAACCAATGCCTGTCATCTAAAGGTACAAGATCCCAATTATGAGTGTAACTGTACTGTATACCTAAAATGTACCAATAAACTGAATAAAGGAAAAAAAAAAGTAGATTCTCTGGATCTGGTATTGGAGAGCTGTGTGGCCTTGAGAAATTTAGGTAAAATAGGGCCCTGAACATTTGCCAAAGGGATATTGAATGAAATGGCCCATGCGAACATCTTAACACTGAGCCAGCGTATACTATGACGTGTGAACAAAAGTTACAGTAATGTTTAATTGTTTCAAAACTTATTCTAGAAAAAGATAAGTGTCGTTATTCTTCCTTAAAATACTCCTGCTTCCCTAACCCCTACCTTTGCCATTGTTCTTGTCACTTTCTTAAGCAGTTCTGGAAATCCTGCAGCAGGAACATCTGCAGTTGTCCTGTCCGGCCATTTCAATGTCCTGAAACAACTCAAAATACTCGTGGCAATTTCTACCAAATGAAGACACTACGGTGTGTCTTCATCTACTTTCTTCACTACAGTTAGCACCGTAGGACTTCTGGCTCTTCCTCAAAGTCAAAATGACCAGGAAAGATAAATGTTTTGAAAGGATTCAAGAGAGAAAGGCAGCCACCACAGTGCGACTGAACACTGTCAGCTAGGAAAGAGTCCTTCCAGAGCTGCTGAAGGAAGAGGCAGCAGTGCAGAGACAAGAGTGTCTGAAGTGAGGGGAGCGCTTTGTCCCTTGCTGCCATGGTATTTTTAATTTAACCGTTTAGCAGATGTTTTGTTGGCACCTCGTAGGTGTTCGGTACAACTATTTTCTCACAAGGACTAAACGTGACACGGAGACCAAACGGCTGTCCTACGGCGAGCGCTCCTTGAGCATCACAGCCCATGGATATGGCCACAAGCATTCTCTCTCCTGGGCTTTGGTCAGGAGGAGTGAAACGAAACTTACCGGGAGCAGCAGAGAAGAAGGTAAAACAACAAGTGGCGTATTATTTCCTCACAATTCAGTGTGCAAACATCCAGGATGCAAACAGAATGAGGAAGAAGAGACTTGGAACGCTCTTCCCACTCTCCATTACCTTCCTAGTCTTTGCTTTCTCTTTTCCTTAAAATGCAGTCCCCTGTGTACATCCCATCCTCTCAGAAAAGAAGGTTTGGATCCTGGCACCCAGTTTTCCTTAAGTTGTCAATTTCTATTCAGGATTTTTGCTCTTCCACTACATGAGTGGGTGCAAGCCAAATCTTTTCAACCTCCGACCACCCTTGCATTTCATCTTGATTTATAGTCTTACTTTCAAAGCTACTCCCCTTCTCCTCAGTCCTGTCTACCCTTCCAAGCCTGTCTTCTCAGCCTGGGTAGTGTTGTTAGCCTTCCTCCTACACAGAGTTGAAGTATAGCTGTTTTTGCTAATGAACATACAGAAATATACCCACACTCTGTTAAATGGAACAGAAGAACGTGATGACACGTTCTTCTCAGGAGACTGAAAAATTAAACAAATGCTTCTATCAAGTGTAGAGAGGATGTGGAAAAACAGATACTCTGGGGGTGGGAAAGCAAATTGGCACAGCCTTCCTTTGGATGATTTTGTAATATTGGTTAAATTTTAAATTGCACATTTTCCCAACCTAGCAGTTCTACTTCTTGGCCACCGATCTATCTACAAAAACATTAGCTTGAGTGCTTAAGAAGACACATATTCAAGGGTTTTCGCGGCAGCACTATCTATATAGTGAAACACTTAGGTTCTATATGCCACTGAATAAACAGCAGATACTGTGAGAGCCCAGAATATGAAATACTACACAGCAACTTATCATAATGGTGCAGATTTCTACACAAACTAGAAAAGAAAGTAGTCCAGTGCATAACCTTCAATGAATAAAGACAAATAGAAACAAAGCTGCCTATGGGCTCTGATGATTTTTTTAAAAATACCTAGTGCATAGAAATATATTTCTGTACCATAAATACAGATAAGGGATGGAAGAAAGATCGAGAGTGGCTGTATTCAACCATTAAGAGGGATCACCTCAGAGGAAAGTTCCGTAATTGAGGGCAGGGTTTCAAAGAAGAGTTTATTTCAGTACTTACGTGCCTCTAACCACAGTGCATTAGCGTAAGGATTCTGTGACTTAAAATACATAAGTAATCCTTTGCAAAATGCATAATGTGTAGGTGATTCTCCTACCACTATTCCTAGTTTCAAGTCAGAAGCTGTTAAGGAAGAAACAGATCTGAGAGGGGCTTTGGAAATGAGCAGAGGAGGGCAGGATCTACCCCTAAGGCCTTCAGCGAGTTTGTGGAATTCAGCCACAATATAGCCCAAACAACTGAACCCCGAGACATGCAGGTGTGGGTCAGATTGTTCCCAACACAAAGAGAGACATTGAAAGGAACACAGTTCCCTGCCTGGTGGAGGAAAAGTCACTGGATTACTTACTGTCTTTAGATGTCTTCCTTGTCACCTGTGATGAGTTGTTGGGTCCTTTGAAATAAACAAAAGGAAAAGAGAAAACAAACTTATTGAGTTTCAACAAAGAAAATCACTGCCCTTGGAATTAAGATGAGACAGTGTATTGGCAAATACACCAGAGATGTGCCATGTGCCATCACTGAAAATCAAGAACACTCTCTCTCCTCTTGTTCTCCAAGAGCCACAGGAAAAAAAAGCTGCCAGGTAGATCTCAGGACCCAAAAGACTCAAGGTCAGGTCTATTCATCTGAATCTTTCAGTGACTGCTTCTCCTGGGGGCAAAGAGTCAGGAAGACAGAGCACGTGTCCCCAGACCTTTGAGTGTGAGCAAACCACTGTCTGGAAATGTTTTCTCAGTGCTTCTAGTAGAATCACTGGACAGAAGAAAAGTTCCTGATTCTGGAAGAAAAAAATGCTTGATAAAAGGAACCTGAAAATACCAGTATTAACAGTATTTGTGGTGGGTGGAGGGATTCAGGATGATTTTTGTTCTTTTTGTTGTTGTTGTTGTTTTGTTTGTTTGTTTTTTGAGACAGGGTCTCACTATGTAGTTGAGACTGACGTGGAACTCACTATGTAGCCCAGGCTGGTCTCAAACACACAGCGATACTCCTGCCTCAGCCTCCAGAGTGCTGGGATTACAAGCATGCGCCACCACTCCCAACTAGGATGATTTTTGTATAAAGGAAAGCTATTGATTTTTTTTTTTTTTTTTTTTTTTTTTTTTTTTTTTTTTTTTGGTCTTCATGCTTCTCTGAATATTTCCAGTTTTCCTTAAGGATTGCAGGCATTTTCAGAATAAAGATAAAGAAACTACAAATGTTATGTTCTAATATGATTATTTAATAGCACAAATGAAATTTTTAAATATATAAAAATTGGTTAATATAAGGTTCACGGATTTTAGCGACAACTCAGAATATAACGGAGTTATTCAGTTGTAAATCTATTTAAACTATCCAGGTCTTACTGAGGCAGCTGAAATGCCTAGGAAAACCTTCAAGCTTTGTCGTTGTTGCTTTCCAATATTCTTACCTCAGAATCAGAGACTGAAACATGGTGGAAGCCTTCACACTCCACACAAGCAAGGAAACTAATCACCAGAGAGGTGTAAAAGGCAAGGCCAAGAAAATTCACAAGCAGAAAAAAAAAAAAAAATAGCAGAAGGAAACAAAGAAATAGAATAAAACCATTTCAGCTGGAAGTGATGTTTGAAGCCATCTGGAGAGCTATTCTCAGACAATCTCTAACATCCAGGCAGACTTCATTCCAGAAGGGACAGAGCTGGCGTCTGACCCAGAACCTCATTCCTTGGTTCTTTCATAGGCAACTCCTGAAACACTCTGGCAAGTCCGCTAGAGAATGCAAAGGCTCTTTTCAGAAACACACACAAAAAAGAAATTGAAAAAGAAAACACTAAAACCAAAGAAGCCATATAGTGAAATCACATCTTTACACACATGCACACATACACACACACACACGCATGTGCTCACTACTGTGGGCTGCAGTGTATCCCTCCAAAATCCATAAGGTGAAATACCAACACTCAGTACCTCTGAATGAGACTGTATTTTAGACAGGGCTGTTAAAGAAGAGATTAAGGCAAAATGAGGTCCTATGGATGGACCCTAGCCCAGTATGACTGGTTTCCTAAAATTAGATTAGGACACAGAAGGACAGTCAGACAGAGGGAAGCACATGAGACACACTGAGAAGACAGTCACCTACAAACCATGGAAAGAACATGTAAAACAAACAGAAGCTACTGACACATTAACCTTGGGCTTCTAACACCTGGACTTGGGGGAAAATAAATTTCTGTTATTTAAGCCATGCATTCTGTGGCATTTGTTATGGTGGGCCAGAAAACACACATACATGGATGCACACACACACACACACACACACACACCCCAAGACACATAGCTGGATTTTCCCATACAGTGAGAGAACCCTGCTCCAAAAAGAACAAGGCACGTCTGCCCAGTAGAAGGGAAATATGACCATTTCCATCCCATACCTGGAGTGGAGATGGGCCCTTGCGTGGAAGGCTCCCGGGTGTTCTCTGGGACAGAGCTCGGACTTGTCAGGGGGCACGTGGTTGCTGTTGTTATGAAGATAGAGGTGGCCTGTGTCTGAAATGGGGTTCTGGCTGTGAGCTCACGTGTAGTCTGGAAGGTGGTTGGCAGCACAGCTGCAGTCGTTGGCATGTCAAGGGTGTTAGTTCGGTGGGAGGCTGTTGAGGTCACAACTGTTGTTGGTGGCACAGCACTGGTTATAGGCACAAACGGGGTGCTGGTAAGGTGGGAGGTCGCTGCAGCCATGGCTGTTGTTGGCAGCACAGTTGTGGTTGTCCGCAAATTAGTGGTGGTAGCTTGGTGGGAGGTTGATATTTGGCCTATAGTTGTTGGGGCTGTAACCAAAAAAAGATGTGCCTTGCATCAAGCAAGATGGAGAAAGAGATCTGAGATCTGTCCACTTCCCTCCATTTCTGATGCTTTCACCTGGTCCGCTGGCCTGATCCACTGTAACGCTAACTAAAATTGGGTTTCTTGCCTCCATTTTTGTCCCTTCCAATCTATTCTCCTTATATTGGCTTGAATAGTCTTTTAAAATTACAAGTCTAGTCATGCCAATTCTCTGCTTAGAACTTATATGGGGTCCTCCTCGCCTATGAGATAAAGAATTCAGTCCTTTGGCCTAAAAAATCTAATTTGACCCTGCCTTTCTTTCCAATCACACATCTCCCCCACTGTCTTCTTTATAGTTTTCTCAGACAACTAATCTTTCTTCAATTCCTGGAACACATCAATGACCTTCTAGGCATAGGAATTTCCTATCCTACTTGCAATCCTGTTCACTAGGCTAATCCTGCCTTACCCTTTGGTCTCAGCGAAAAGATCACTTTTGTGAGGAGGACATCCAGATTCTACAATAATAGGAATCCCTGATATGAGTTCTCATACTTTACCTTCACAGAATTTATGGTATTTCACAACTACCCATTTCTTTGACTGTTATTGTTTAATGTTTCCTTCTCCCCCTCTGCTGTAAGCACCATGAGAAGAAATCAGATGTTGTATTTATTTTGTTTTCTGCTGTGAATCCATATTTCACTGTGTCTGGCAAGTGGTAGGCAGCCTAGAGTGAGAAGGCGGACTCCTGATACAGAAGATTCATTTATTGCAACATCACTTAATCCATCACCATCTACATTTTGGTTTATTACCCGCAGTTTATTCTATGGCTCTCACCATTTCTAGGATATGCCAAGTTCCCCTCGACTTTAATGCAGCAGAAAAACATCATTTCTTTCAACTGAACTTGGAAATTACCCTGTAGAATACTGAGGTCAACAAATATTTTATAAAATAATACTGAGTTATATCAGGCAAGAAAATACTGGGGTTGGAGTCATTTAAGTTCAGTAAATATCATTTTCCTCTTATGTCAAAGTAGAATAGTACCTTCTAGCTCATGTAGTTGCTTTCAGAGAAAAAGATACTAATTGTAGTAATAGGTAAGAAAGTTCTCTAATTAAAAGCACCCACATCCACTGTTCCCCAGTTGTAGTGTACTTTAGAGAAACTTGCAAAGCCTAAAGAATACAGGTGTGGAGACCCCAGTTTCCAAGGCACCAATCTGTTGGGAACAGACCCCAAGATTAGGAAGCTCCATTAAGACGAGCACTAATGGGGGTCCTCATTGAAATAATTCAACCACAGGGCAGCTTATTCCATGAAACTTAAGCCTTAAGGAGTCTCATGCATTCCAAAATTTATCAAAAGACACTGAGAGTAACAGAAGGAAAGATTCCTGATAAACCTCTGAGATGGTCTCTGAATCCTATGCCCTCTCTTCTACCAGAAGTCACAAACTATTTCTCTACAGGTAGAAGCTGACCTACAGATGTGTTCTACTTAATTCATACCATATTTTTATTCGGCTTTTCAAATTGTCCATTATACAAAGCTAAATATAGTTTGCATAAAACCTAGGAGGTCTGAAAACTCTGGGCCCAAATTTCTAGGACGTGACAGACAGTTCCCTAGATAAGCAGAAGCTGCCCTCTTTAAACTCGCTACGTAACTTCCCAGCTCCCTGTCTTTTCCTACCCTCCCTTTACTCATTTCTGTGGATGCCTTGGTCCCCATGCTCCGTCTCATGGCTCATCACTTCAAGGCTCATCTCTCCGCTCCCTGCTTAAGCAAGTTCAACCTCCTCAGCACCACCCAGTGAATCCATTACCCATGGCCTGGGGAATTTCTCCCTCCCCAGATTTGAGCCAGACACCTGCTCACCTCTCCTTAACACCAGCTGAATGTTCATCTTCACGTCATTGAACCAGCCAGGCACCTCTATGCGGCAGCAGTACACTCCACTGTCCTCTTCTTCTGTGTTTAAGATGGTCAGGGACACGTCACCCCTCTGGATTTCCCCACTGAGTCTGTATTTTTCTGACGCGCGTGAAGTCACTCCGATTCCATCTGTGTGGATAAGCGCCTGGTTGCATTTGGAATTGGGACACTGGCCTTTTCCCCAGCACATGCTGTTGCTGTTCGGAGACCAGGATGAGTACAGACAGGGCAAAGTCACGGATTGGCCCCAAAACGCCGTAAGGATAACCTCCGACCTGGCTGGTGCTGCAAGGACAAATGAAAAAAAAGCAAAAACAAAAACACAACTTGCACAGTACCAAAGCCTTGCAGATATGCTACAGATTTTGTGCAAATAGATGATCCCAGGAAGCTGCATAGAGTCACAGTGTGTATGTTTCTTTAGCAACGATTTGATATGACCACGAGCCCTGCCAAGCTTCTGACTTTACATGTTGCTGTCCCCATATGGAGGTGGCCACCAGCATCTCTAAATTCATCTCAGAAGCAAAACCTTTTTGATGATTTAAGCATTCCAATCCTGGGTGCAATTCAATAAACCCCTTGACTCTCCAATGAAAAGCCCTGACCCTGCAATTCATTTCCACCATTTCATAGAAAACCAATCCAAAAACAACACTGTTGTTCTCAATTATTCTCAGTAAGCAAATATTGTGCACTGCTGATGTGAATGCCTTGAACAGGGCAGCGGTGGGCCTGGAAGAGAAGCTGTTGAGCTGATTTGATGTGCTATTCACCTTTCAGTCACTCCTGGAAGTGGAAATAGCCTGTTCTGGACCATTTGCTTGCTGTGCAGGTAATATGAAGTCAGGAAGAGTTAATAGATCAATTACTTATTTTTTTTTAAAGGAAAAATAATGATTTTGTATTGGGGGGGCTCAATATGAAGTGTTTTTTTTCTCATTGAGTTTATTTGTAGCTTTTAGGTGTACAGTACAGTTACATTCATCATTGGGATCTTGTACCTTTACATGACAGGTCTTGGCTCTTATTTTTTCCCCTTACTCCTGCCCTCCCTTCATTCCCCCCTCCCTTCCCTATTACAAAAACTTTTTTCCAGGGCCAGGGGTTTGACTCAGCGGTTCAGCTGCCTCCTTCACAAGCACAAGGGTCTGAGTTCAATCCCCAGTACAAAAAAAAAAAAAAACCTACAAAAACAAAAACAAAAAACCTTTTTTTCCATTTTTTCATTTTCTCGTATTTTTTCTTTTCCTTTATTTCTTTTCCCCTCCCCTTCCCACTTCCTCTACACCTTTAGCCCTTTTCTCGTATTTCACATTGTCATTTATACCATTTGGTTCTTACTTACACTTTTAGTTTTTTTACACCAGAGAAACTATTTGGAATTTACATGTGTGACTTACTTATTCCACTTAAGAGTATGGCCTCAGTATGCATCCATTTTCCTATGAAGGATTATAATTTCTCATTCTTTATGGGTGAGTATTATTCCATTTTATAGAAAAACCACATCTTTATTCAGTCTGCAGCTGATGGGCAAGTGAGCTGTTTCCAAGTGTTAGCTATTACAAACTGTGCCACCATAAACATGGGTGAGCATATATCACTGTGGTGTGAGGTTTTGATCTATGGATCCATTTAAGTTTCAGTTAAACTAATTAACATATTCATCACCTCACCACTGTATTTTTGTGATGAGAACATTAAATTTTGCGATGAGAGCATTTAACATCATTTAGCGATTTTGAAATATATAATGCACTATAACTATTAACTGTGAGTAACATGCAATACAATAAATCACTACAATTTATGGCCCTCCCACTATGTTCCTTCCGTGGAGCCTGCTGACCACAATTTAAACCATGAGTCAAACTCAACCCCTTTTTCTTTAAGTATGGGTGTCACATTTGGTATTCTAGGGCCTGGAAACCTGACGAAAGCAATATCCTACTCCACTGTAAGAAATTCTGAAAGTAAAATGGGCAAAAGACATAATACATAATTCACACATGAGAAAACAGGAGTGGACAATAGTTGTCACCTATTAGACTACAATGATTCAGGATACAGATGATGTCACCTGGCCAGGGTGTCATTAAAGGAGGCTCCCAGACATTGCTGAGAGGGCTAGGAAGGCACACAGCCTTCCAGAGGAAACTGGAATAAAATGGGGGTTTGAGTTTGGGCAGCTAGTGCTGCAGGAATTTGGAAGTTTCTACTCACATTCAGTACATGGGTCCTAGCTATGCCCTGAAGATGGCACAATTGTTATCTATTCTAGAAAACCACAGGCACACTACGATGCCAATATGTGACTGTTCATAGCAGTGTCCACAATGGACTACACAGTGTATATATGGCAAATCGCTAAAGCACAGCTACTTAGATTCCATGAAATTCTATATAGATTAGTAAAATGAGAGACAACTATAGGAACCGATATGAAAACTGTAAGCCGATTTTACTGTATAAAAAGGGAAAATTCTAGGATAAAATATCTATAATATATATATGTTTGAAAACTAGAAGTAATATATAAAACTGTTCTTTGTTAAACAAGCAAATAAAATGGTTCGCATTCTCAGGAGCTCAACTGTATGAAAATGAATGCACAGAAAAGCGTCTAGTGGGACAGACTCCAAACTCCTGGCCTCAGTCATCTCCTTGTATAACATTTTTATTGTTTCACCAAGCCTTTCTGCATTACTCACTTTATTCAAATGTAATATTTTTAAAACGGAACTGGGTGTTCTTGTAAGGGAAAAACACCCAGTACGGTAACAAAGTAAACCTCATGATGCCAGTCACTGCTTTCATTTCCTTGGAGGGAAACCACAATAATTCTCATCTAAAGCAAGGATGACACTCACCTCAAAAGCAGTCCTAGAGTTTACATGCCACGAAGCATCAAATGCAGTGTGAAATTAATAAAGTATTAGCACAACAAACCAAACACATTGGAACTTAGGAAATAGGACAAGAATCCTCTTTCCAGCTGCAGAAGTGTGTAGGAGAAAAGGAATCACTGGGATCAAATCACGTTCCCTTCTGTGGAATTCCTGAATGCATGCAAACTAGGATATGGTTTCCCTTTAGCTGGTGATTTACACCAAAGCTCTCCCAATCCAGACTCCAGTTTCACCACTAAAGCAGTGGTGGTGAACCTAAGACATGCGTGCAACTCTGTTTTCTTCTTAAGGCACAGGATAACGGAGAGTTGTTTTCCTGAAGCAAAGCCTCACTATTCTGGTTTCACTGCAGTATTGGCATTTTGCAATGGTAGGTAGGTTTTGGGTTGGAGTTTGGTACTCAGTCTCTAAACTGCTTGATATAACAGATCTATAGAGTGAGGGGCTTTCTTAGGTGCCTCTGAAGAGCAAATTATATGATTCGCTAAACAGCTGCTGTCCTTGAAGTTTTATATAAAGCACAAGTACAAAAAACAAAACAAAGCAAAACCAAACAAACAAACAAACAAACGGAAAGAACAGCTCACCAGGTGCTGCCTCATTCCAGCAAGGTGGGAACAGCTCATTGGGTCAGAGTCCTGAGCGAAGCAGTGCGTGCTGGCATAGGCCTTGCCAAACTACAGCTTCCAGACCCAAAACTTCAACTTCCCAAGGCAGCAAACAGCAGTGAAAAACAAAAGAAAACAAAGCCACACACCGAGAAAGAACCGGGCTTGCTGTGCACGGTGGTAGGTGTCGCAAGACTCAGCCCAATCTGCAGAATTTAGCAAGATTTATAGGGCTGAGAATGTAGCTCAGTGCAATGTTCTAGGTTCAATCCCCAGTATCACAAAGAATAAAAACACAAAACCTGAAAAGTAACAGACTATAGTTTTCTTACATTAACCGGGGTGAGGCTCACACTACAGCCAAACACAAATGTGAAAGAGACAGGGACTGATTCCATTCCGTGAACTGTTTCTTGTCTGTTACATACTTAGCATGGAACTAAGTGCTGGGATACAATCGCAAACACAGCTAGCTGAGCCCGCAGGGTGCCTGGGGAAGGAGACAGCTGAGAAAGCAGGTACGAAGGCTGACAAGGCATATGACACAGGACCTCCAGAGAGGAAGAGGACCAGTCTGGAGGCGACGCGGTGGAGAGTAAAAGCTCGGCTTCAGCAGACCGCTGAGGATGAAGGACATAAGGAGAACAGAGAGGCAGAAAGAACAGCATGACACAGGCTGAAGAGGCAGGGAGAACATGTCTGTTTTGCCTGGAATACAAGCGTTTTCTCCCACAGTGCTTTTGTAAATTCACACCTGAATAATCAAGGACTTTTAAAATGGCAAGGGACATTACATGTTGCCTAAACTTTGAAGAACAGACAAGTAAAAGTCTCACCTAGGTCCCTCGCTTCACACATACAGGAGCCAGTGCAGTTTAGGCACATTGCCAGTGTCCACTCAAGCACACCCAGCAGGGGCAGCTTAGAGCAGATCAGGGGCGGAATACCCCAGGAGGACACATCTTCACCGGCCAGAACTGAGTGCGTACATCTGTATCACCCAAGCGTTGGGGAAACAATGCACAGAACAAAAATCTCTCCATGAAGCCCATGCCCAGCAAAACAACATCAAACCAAGAAGCAGGCAAACAGTCCTGAATACAGAGAATGATATAAATGATAGTCTTGTAATCGCCAGCACAACTCGCTCTGTCTCCTGACTATGCTGCGTAACACAGGCAGATGAAACTCCTTAGTCCCCTTCATCCAACTCTTACTTTTATGTCTTTTTTTTTTAATTGCCATTTCAAATATAAGTACAAATTATCCCATCCTACCACCTCTAAATCAGTCTCTAGGTAGAAACCTTGGGTAACAAAGGCAGGAGAGAGACTCTCAATAAAATGAAATACCGCATGAAGGAGGGGAAGAACATTACAGAAACACTTTGTATGATGAAACCTCCCAAGGAGTCGCTCACAGAGACTTTCGAACACTTACTCAGATAAAGCCACCCAAGGGCCACTGCCAGCCACGGAATGACAGCCCCTTTGCACATTTTGGCAGGAGTCTGTCTGTCTGTGGAAAATTCATATTTTATACCACACTTCCTGCTGACAGGGTGGGACATGTTAATTTCGTTTCTCTTTTTTCCTCAATATCTTCCCTTTCCTCATCCTGAAGGGCCTCCTTCAATTAGGGATGCATGATAAAATGTGCTGAGTGCTTTCTCCTGGTGCCCAGGATGTGTGTACAGATGTGGGGTGAACCATGGTCACCTTGACTGCTGGGAAATCGGCAGTAAAAGGCCATAAACTTAGCACTGGCAAATGTTCCCATGGGGATTACTCATGGTGAACAAAGGAAACTTAGACTAGATCCCGTTCTGGAATCCCCTCACCTGACTCCTGGTCCACTTTCCCTCACAATGGAGAAAGGATAGTGGGTGGCCATCGGTCCTCACATAACCCAAGCCACCATCTAGTTTATAGTGCAGGGAAGAGGAGGTTCAACAGAAGCACCCTGTGGTTACAACAAAGACTCAGGCTGCAGAAGACCCAAGATCTGGCCCAACACCACCACTCAAAAGTGAAACCACCTGCTGGGGAAAGGCACACAGGATAAAGCAGATGAGAGGACTGAATGAGATGATTTTATAGCTCTTTCAGATTCCACAGATACAGAGACATATCCAGCGCTACAGACCAAGGTAGAGAAGAAATCAAATCAATACTCACCAACAAGAAGCATTTTATAAATCAGGACTTTTTTCATCACTAATATTTATTCCCTGTTTAATTATATAATATTATATAACTACTAAGTCATAAATTTATTTTTCACAACTATAAGAAATACATATTTCTTATGCCATTCAACAGGCAAGACAAATGAAGCTTAAGGTGGTTAAGTAAATTACTCACCATAGTTAAACAGTTGTAGAAGTAGGATTTAAACACAGGACTTCCTGATTCCAAAGCCCATGCTCTTGATCACTACATGCTTCTTTTAAATACATTCTCCTGACTCCCATTTGGTCTCTCCTGTCTCTTGGAATTCTGTAACATTTCTGCCGACCATAACGGGACTGGAGATGAGAGCTGCTGTCTCTTCTGCCTGCAGGCCTAAAAAGAGCCTGAGCTGCAGGAACCCTGAGTCCTTAGGTGCCACCAGGTGAGACTTCAGCGCTGAGAGGGAATCAGCCCTCCCACAGCCCAGAATCCCACACCCCCAACTTGCCAGTGCAAAAGAAACCTGTTGGGATTGAGAACAACTCTGGAACAACAGTGTACTACGGGACAGTGGTAAGATAGGGGCCCCTTAGAGAGGGAACCATTCCTGTATGGACAGAAGGGGAAGTTGAATATTTCCCAGGGAATATCAAGTCATCTGACCCAGATTAAATCAGACTCCCATCTGGAGGGGCCTACAATGAGAATTGGCTCTTAGGGAGCTAGGGATGTGGGAATGGCCCACCATAGAAGAGGCTAATGGTTGGTTGATTTGGACTGAGTCTGATGAAACCTACAACCCCAAGTGGAATGTGGGACAGGCCTGCAATGAGAATGACTTGCAAAGCGGGTATGACAAGTAGTCAGACTCAGGAGGAATCAGACAAAACTCACACCTGGGTGTACTGAGTAGCTGGACTCAGGAGTTAAATGAAACTTACACTCAGGCTAAGAAATGAGGTAGGAGAGGCGTATGCCTGTGTGTATGAAAAAAATAAAGTGTGTGAATCCAGAGATAGTGAGAAGAATATAATTGCGTGTAAATGAGTGGAGTGAAGTGTGTGAGTCCAAGGTTGCCTGAGCTCAGCTGGGGACTGGAGGAGGGAAGGGATCTAATAGATCTAAAAACAAAAGTAATTGAGAGACATGTGTGTTGTAAAGGGCAAAGGCATGTAGAAAGTTGCTTAGCTTTGGTGCACTAGGTTATACAGGTAGTGCACCCCAGACAAGCTGATAAAAACATTTAAAAACACCCTGTAAAACAGGGTGATGATGGTGCCCAGCCTAGACAGGGACTGAAATGAAAAGAATGCCCTTGGCCCTTGGTGTGCCTTGTCTTTGTTGCCCAGATCAGCACTGATCAACCCCATGACCCAGTTCTCTAAAGTCTCTTTTCTTTCTTTAATCTTTATCAGCTTGTGTTGTAGTGTCTTACAGGAGACTGCAGACTTACTGCAGAAGTCTATAATAATGTCCCACTTCCATCCCCTATACCATCAAACCAGCTGATCCTGCAACAAGATCAAGCCACCACCAGAGATGACAACCCTGATCACTCCAGAAGCTGACCAGTCCACACATGGTCAAAGCTTAAAGATCACAATAGAGTCACAAGGAAAACATAAGTTTCTTATCCTCTTTGCTATAACTCTCCCTTGCCTCTTATCCCTACTTGCAAAAACAGACATAGAGACTCTGATAAATAGACAGTAGAAAAAATTCAACTGACGGCCTTAGCCAAGTACCAACCTCGGCTCATTAGTTTATACTGAGCAGCCCCTTATGATAAAAAATAATGATATTGTCTACTAAAATTTGTTACAGAAAACATCAAAGAAGAGAAGAAGCAGGACTTAAAGAAAAACAAGTTTTTCCCAGCCTTGGACAGTTCCACCCTCCTATCTCCCCGTCTCCCCTGCAGCTGCAATTCCTTGTTCTGGTACAGACAAAATTAACAACTATGTCCTATAAACAAAGCTTATGACACCGTTCTCATAAGATTCGTAAGGCACGTAAAACTTGTCCTGTTCTGGTAAACTTGCTACATCTCTAGCAAAAACAGCTCCTTGAACAAAATATATAAAAGGTGAAACTTCTCTTTGTTTACTGCTCAGCCATTTTAAACACAGATTCTGATGAGCTGGTGTATGCACCATTGGTAAAACCTCCTGACTCCCATTTGGTCTCTCCTATCTCTTGGAACTGTACAACAGCATGACTGTTTGTACTATGGATCAAACACAGAAGCTGTGTGGGGCTAAGACAACTCTCAGCCCTTTTGAAAGTTTTTTTACATTCTGAGACTGGATCTTACTAATTTCTAGGCTAGGCTTGAACTTGTGAGCCTCCTGTCTTTGACTCCAAGAATATTAGGTTTTTAGATGTGTACCACTGCCCCAGCTATATTTAGGTATTTTCAAAAGAAAACCAATAGGTCTTCGACAGATATGTTGAAACTTTAGGGGTGAATTTTTATGGATACTTGGGAAATTAATACAAGAGAAACATGAAGTAATTATTATTATCAGGAAAGAGAAAATGTACAAGAAAAATGTAATTATAATAGATTAACTAAAGTAAAGATTGCATCATGATCTTAATAATGTAAAGTTTGGCTACTGTTTTAACATAAAATTGAGGTATGACTACATTAGAAAGGTGGGTAGAAAGAATGTTGGGCACAAATATTTAAAAAGTCAACCACAGGGGGTCATTATGTAATATCTCAAATTGACCAATAAAAAATATCAGAATATGGTGGGGGATTTAACTCAGTGGTGCCACTCCTTGCCTTGAAAGTGCAAGGACTTGAGTTTGAGCCCCAGTACAAAAAATAATAAGAAGAAGACGAAGAAGACGAAGACAAAGACGAAGATGAAGACGAAGACGAAGGCGAAGAAGAAGAAGAAGAAGAAGCACCCTATTAAAAACATAGAGGAGAAAACCAGGAGACAGATGCTGAAAAGAGCTTTAATTTGCTAGGAAAGAGGGGGAAAGGAATTCATTAAATTTTTTTAGTTATAAGCCATTTGCAATAATTTTACTTTGAGAACATACAGTACACTGATCTTAAGTTTCTCATACCACCCTCTTTAGTGTGTAGTCTTAATGCAGGGACATTCCAATGCTTTTAGTTCATGCTATGTGCCAGGCACTATGCTAAATAAACCCTCAGAGCGCCATATTAGCAAGCCATTCTTCTCAGTCCTAAAGATACTGGGGAGAGCTGAGTAGGTAGAAATAATTTTAGACAGAATAAAAAGCATATAAAAAGTTCAATGTATTATCACAGCACTTTACACTAATAGACAAATCTCAACTTTGTAGATGCTTATTATACCATTTCAAAGTAAATAAAAAGACACAGAAAAAAAATAAGAGAGGTCTCTATGTAAGTAAACAGTGAGAGCACATAGTGGCCCAGTGATTGTGACTGACGTGTTGGGTGTTCGAGTCTCACTACAGCTGGACCCTACATCAGGAGGCAAGAATAGGGTTGGATCAGCAGGCAGAGTCACATCATGCAGAGCCTGATATTTCACAAGAAGGACTGCAGGCATTATCCTGAAGGCAAAAAGGAGCCAACGTTTGTGGGTGATTACTGAGCATGAGAGAGCAATACTTATAATCAAAACACTCCAACAATTTTGACTATTTTCATCAAAATAATGTCCTGGACTAAGTAATTTTTAAGACCTCTATTTTTCTTCCAGTTTGGGTAGTGTGTAACCACACATGAGATATTATCAAAACACACTGTGAACGGTAAAGTTTTTTAAAAAATATTAAAAGACTCATTACCATTAATATCTCTCAAAATATCCCCCACATTTCAAATACATTAACGCTTTCAGTCTAGCCACTTTCTGAAACAGTTTTGAATGGATTCAGGACCTTGAGACATCTATTACAGTCCTGCTAAACACACTGAGGGAAGAAAACAACTGTGTCCTGGAGAAGAGATGCTGTGAGCTATTTCAGTGAGGGGAATGGGGATGTTTGTTTTGCTTATTGTCAGCCATGAGGGTCTATGCAGCGAGCTTTTATTCACTTCATGATTTCCACATGACATCTTCCTTACTTCCTGAGTTGCTATGGGGTAAGAAATCAGACTGGTCCATGACATTAGCGACAGGATTATGTGCATCTTATTCAATCTTTCTGTACTCTACTACCTCTCTTAAAAATGAACACAATAGTATCTAATCTTAGATGCTATAAGTACTAAAAGAAATGCTCTATGAAAAGCACTTAATACAGTATCTGGCCAATACAGAATGTTTAACAAAAGTTAGTTATTATTAAAATAGCTGATTAAAAAATAGCTGTGATCAGG